ACACACCGGCAAATAGTTGCGTCGCGTCGTGGAAAAGAGAGATAGCAGCTCGTAATTGCGGCAAGCACATTGTCGGCGTATAATTGTCTCTGGCAACCGTAGTTACCCGACGATTACGTAACACCGGGAACAACCCGTGCAAAACGCATCGAATTTTACCACCCTACCGTTCGTTGCGTAATTATCGATTGATCCAAAGAGAGAAAGAGAGAGAAAGAAAATTAGCGAATAATACCTTATCTATCGAGAACTATCGCGAGCGAAATTCTAAAAGGGCCAAAAGAAAAAGAAAAAGAAAAAAAAAAAAAGAAAAAATTGGAGAAGAAGGAAATAAGGAAGGAAGCGAGCGAACAATCTACACACGTGGTCGACAGACGGAAGTTTGCTCTAAATACAGCCCGGATATTCCCTGGCATAAGCAAAATTAACCCTGTCGCCCGAGGCGGAGCAACTGCAAACAAGTTTTAGCGCCGAATTTCACCGTGATTAATTAAGCCGCGTTCAATCCTGTTCCGCGAACCCACGTATTACGCGCGCCGTTGTGCGCGTGGCAGCAGATGCTCCCCGGCCGAGGGATGAATTTCATATTCCTCGACAACGCGTCTTACTCCGCTATCCTCGACGTACCGTGTATACCTCGTCATCAAATGTCTAGAATGCGTTTGAACGTTTCATTCGCGTAGGTTCGTCCGTTCGTCTATCACTGCGAGCAATTTGTAATTCCTGGGGAAAAGAAAACGAACGATTGCAGCGATTACTGGGTATTTCGAGACGATAACGACGAGACCGATTATCGTTACGTCCAGTTAAATCCCGCAGCTGACCGGTCGAGATACTCGCGCGAGATAGTCAACCGGGGGGGCGATAGGATAGCGCGCGGGAATTCGGGCAGCACGGAACGGCGGGAATGAAAAGGGGCGGAGGGGATTGAAATCTCTATTGAGCGTCGATGCGGAGGGTGTTCGCGCGGTGTAATATAAAGGCCAGTTGGTCAAACGTGCACGCCGAAATACAGACACGCTACGGTATTTACGGTGCGCGAACTTTCAGACCGCGTCTTTGTCCGACCTGGTCTGACCTGGTGCGACCGGTTCTTCATCGGGAGGAAGGAAACCACGGGGGAGAGTATATATCTCGCGCGACTCGTTCAACCGATAGTTTCACGCGTTTCGCGTTCCTTTGGCTTCGCACGGTGTCACTCTGTTCTTCCTCACTGCGCGAGGCAATGGTATAGGAAAAGGTAAAAGAAACAGAGAGGAAAAAGGAGAGGGAGCTGCATTTATGAGAGGCGCGTCCGCGTGGAAAGATAAAAAAGCGATGACGTGGAATTACGCGCGTTCAGTTTATCATCGTCCGCTTGCCGCGAAACCACTACCCGTGAATATCTGGACAGAACGCGTAAACGCGTTCGATGTCGGGTTTCCGTGCAATTTCGCGATTCCAACGCCTGCCCTTAATGAGGGATCTCCGGGTCGCAGTTCCGGGGCCACGTTTTTTCTCTGCTACGTCGCATGTAACCGCGCGTGTAACACGTGTTGGGCGCGCGTACTCTCGAGGGTACATCGCTCGTAACGAGATTGAACGCGTTTTTGCTGAAAGTTGTACAAGGGGATTTCAAGTGACGGCTACAAATATAGAGGGAGCTATGGCGCACACCGGTGACCGTGTCACGAATCTCGGGGACAAACACGCGGCTTTTAAAAGCGACGAAGACGAGAGCAAACGAGCAGAGAGAAATTGGAAAAAAGCTCGGCGCGTCCCGACGACGGTGCAGTGGAGGCTGGCGCGAGTTTTACGAGCGATCGCGGATTTTATAGCAATACGGCGGAGATTCACGCGGCAGTGATTCTCCTTTGTTTATATACTCGGGCTCGCTCATCCGCGTTCTCTCGAACTGTTTATTTGCAGTTTTACTCTATTCCGTTAATTTGTTTATTCGTTGGTGCGTGAAACAACGACTAAAGAGACGGACCGGTTGGTCGCGCTCGCGCGTACTCGGTGTCGCAGACGCGGAGCAAGCAGGGAACGTGTTTAGCAAGCTTACTTATGGAAATGCGGCGTTGCTGAATTAATCGACTCTTTGTAGAATTACACGATTCCAGTCGTTAATTGGATCGTACGTTCCCCCGTTGCTTTTGTTCGTCTCGCGTTCGTGGAGAGATTGAAACGCTCGCTACAATACAAGCGGAACACGCGGCCGAACGGGCAAATAATTTTCGATTGATTTCGATCTATACTCGTCTTTGTTTCGTCGTCGGCGTTCTCGGGTCGCGACCATTTCCTTTAATCGCCTTACTCGATCGCGAAGTAGAATCGTTCCCGACGACCCTTTTTCATTAACGGTAACGAGCGTTCGACGAACCAGCAGGAGTTTACACCTCTTCCTGGAGTTTACATTCCGGGCGAAAAATATATCTCGTAATACCTCGCAACGTCGAGAAGCGTGAAACGCGAACGCGGAGCGTCAAAGAGTCATTATCTCGCATTATATCCGTCCACGATTCGCGACGGTAAAGCGGGGAACAAGGAATCAGAGAAAGAGCTACCCGCTCGGTTATCGAGTTAGACGGAATGTCTATTGAATTTGCCAGTAAACAAGAAGAACGACGCGGGCAGAATTTTCCTTTACGCGGGCATAGTTCCCCCTTAATAACCGTTTTACGGCGGTCTTCACTGTCAGCGACAAACTACGTTACGCGCGTACTAATTTAACCCTATTTTCCATGGTCGTCGTCCGACGAACGAGCGAGCGAGCGAGAGAGCATTCGCCTGCCATGGGAAAAGGAAGAACGGTTCCCGGGAACCGTTGCAGATGCACCGATGCAGGCGCGATATCTGCTGCACTCTCTATTCCGAATACACTATACGATCCAGTCCGTACGTGCGAGGATAGATGTACATACGTGTGTGTTGGTGGAAAGCAGCGAAGCTGACACACGTATATATGTGTAAACGCGAGCTAGATGGCAGCGCTGCATAGCTGTAAACCGGTGACGCAGGTGCATCGCGCGCTCGTACAGCGCAGGAAGCGCCGAACATAAACGTCTTTCCGGCGCATACACGACTGCGTTCACCGACGCTACACGATCCAGCGAGCTTTCACGATCGCGCGTCGTATCCATCGAAATTCTGCTTATCAAATCACCGTTAGAAATGCGTTTCATGCGGTTTGCACGCGCGCGTTGTATGCGCGATCCGCGATCCGGTCGCTGAAAAATATTTGTTGAACTGAAATTTCGGGCGCGCCAGTCGGCTGATATATCAGATTTGTCTACGTAGGTACGTGGGGGGAGAAATCCGTTGATAGAGAGACACGCGGGATTGTGGAAAGGAAACGAGAGAGGAAACGCGCTCCGGAGAGGAAATGATACGGACCGGCGAGAGGGCGAGGGAGTGCAATAAATGTTGCAATCGGAACGCGATGTCGGCAGGGGCGACGCGACGTTTCGCATGCCATTCAACGCGTACGTGCGCGTTTTATCGTCACCCATCCAAGGAGCTTCGGCTATCATTATATTTGGGTTACAGTGAATCTCAACCGAGTGGTTTTATTATCCTTTCGCGTTTAACGATCGCGCCAGACGAGTCGAATAACCACATTGTTAGCGCAAGAATATTGAACATTCTTGCACTCTGAATCTTGGTTTAATTTATATCTCCGTTGGCCATCCCTTCGAATGTTTCCGCTTAATTTCTACGAAATTAAAGCTCAGAAGCATCGCGTAGATCAGAACGACCTGCAAACCTGTTGTTTGTTATCATTTAGAAAACATCAATCGCCTTTAATTTAGATGACCTATCAATTAAACAGATTGTTTTTAAATCTAATTGGCTAGATTGAACTAGCCCGATTCTAATAAAATTAGTTTGATTTTCAACCTATATAGGAACGATATAGTTTAATTTTACATCGTCTAATTGTTAATAGATTCGATTCTCCAAGATATTTCGCGAAGTTTGCGTTTAATCACAAATTTCACTTTCGGTCGAACGAAACCATTACTGAACACCCAGATCCATGTATTGTTGTAACGACACACATTTCTCGACGATGTTTCCTTAAAAATCGAATCGCCTTCGAGGGGATTCAAACGAGTTGTGTATAAATCTCTTTGGGAAGTCGTTTGGGATATTTTTCACATTATCGCTCGCTTCACTAGTGAACGATGAATGCAAATGATTTCGCGGGCGCAAATCGCAATAACTGACAAGACGAAGATCGAATATGATCAATCTCGCGGTTATTGCTGCGCATCGTTGGCACAGGTATTCCGCTCCTTCGATGCTTTATAACAAAGAAGTCCTCCGGCGTTTATCGGATGAATATACCCGTACGTGCGTACACGTACGTGTATTTTGCAATATAAACTGCTTACCACACAGTTGCGCGGAGAGAATATATCGAAGAAGTTGCAAAGCGACCGCTCCAGCTTTACCTGGGGCGGCCAAGAGAATATTGGGAAACCAATTGTTTCTTTATCCGGTCGAATATCCTTATTGATTCGATACGCCTTCCGATGAATTATTCGTTCAAAGAAGAAACGTCGGGTATACTCTCCATCGAATATATACTTGGTCTATATTTTATTTAGACACATCGCCCTCGAGATGAAGCCCGAGCCGTTCGACGATTGATCATCGTTCGGCTGTCTCTCGTTTCTCGAAATAGGTTCTCTGTATCAATTTGTCATCACAAAACTACGCGAAGCAAGAAACAGAAGACCTGTATAATCGTGATATTCTCCACCTCGTTGCGCGAATCGATATCGAAAGCTTTCCGTAAACAGTTAATCACGCCGGACCATCACGAAGCAAAGTGGTGGCTCTACTTTGCAGCGGAATGCGGAGTTATGCCTGCGTTGGACCAAGAGTTGTTGAACAAGAGCGATGTCTCCCGCGGGACGTATAAAACGCTCCTCCACTCTCGTACGTAGCTTACCGACCTAAAATACCACCCTCACCGCGTATGTACAGCCGCGCGGATAATGCGCGGACAGATCTATAAACGGGGAAACTTACTTAACGGACGGCAAACAGTCCGTTGTTCTTACTCGCAGGCCCGGAATCGATATATCTGAGCCTGGGTAAATTCCCTCGGCAAACCGACGACATCCCTGAAATTCTGGCTAATACAATTTCACAGAAATTAACGCCCGGCAATCTCGGCCCGGGTGTTCCATTAGCGTCTTGCCAAAAGCCTTCTCAATTTTCCGCGTGCCCGAACGTCGATCCTTCTAAACGGAACACGCCGCCCGATCCATGTTGCAGGACGGGGAGTGGTGTTGGACAGTCAGGGCCCGGTGTTGATCTCCGAGCCACGCTCGTCGGTCGAATTCTCGAACGAGACCGGGGCTATGATCCATTGTTCGGCCCAGGGCAGCCCGTTGCCGAGGATCGATTGGCTCATGGGAGACGAGTCGCCGGTTCTCCCTATACCGCACATCCGTGAGATGCTGGTGAACGGTTCGATGTATTTCTTGCCGTTCGGCGCGGAGACTTACCGGCACGACGTCCACTCGGCGGTCTACAGATGTCAAGCGTCGAACAGCGTCGGCAGGGTGTTGGGCCGTGAAATCACGGTAAAGGCCGGTGAGTATCTTTATTTCTTCGCTTCCCTCGACTGATTGCCATTACCCCATTCCCTTCCGGAAACCACACTTTTTCCCGCCTCTCCACTCTCCATTCGTCTCCTTCACTTTCATCTACATGATTCTTGCGAGGATTGCTCCGCTATTTTTATCACGATTCGTGTACCATCGATCTCGCGCCCCTCTCTCCATTTTCTCTTCCCCGCGGAAATTTCTGCCTTTTTTTTTCTTTCTTTTTTTTCGTTTCAACCGTGCATCATCATCTTTCACTTTCGTTCGCACGATTCCTGGAAAATTGCTCGCTCGCGACGCGTTATCGATTCTTTCCTCGGATTTCTATGCTTTCGTATGCAGAAACGTTTATCCGTTCAAGAGATGTTCAAAGTGTTATAGATTTATGCGGTGGAAATAAACCCTTCGGTTTATCTTATATGCGCGGAAAAAATGAATTCACCTAAAAATTCGTAGTACATTTTATTCCCTCGTGTTTCCCTTGCGTTCTGTCCCGTAGAAATTCTCCGTGTTATGCGTGCCTGTGAATCGCCGACCGCGATAACGAGAGCACCATGTTCCCGGGATATCTCGCGGCGAGCGGAGTGCTTCTTGCGAAGAAGCGTACAAAATCGTTCGGGTAAAGAGTGCTTCTCGGACTGCGAGCCAGAAAACACGGGGACGGTAATCTGGCAAATAATCGGCGAGCAACGTTCCCAGAGTATCGTAGCTGGCAATTACGCCATTGAACACGGCGTATAACAGCAGCGAATGTAAAAGCTGCGATTTAGCGTTGCGTCTCGTTGGTATCGGGTGGTGGTGGGCATTTAGCGCCTCGATCGTCGCGTAACTCTTTCGCGGCGCATTTCGAAAGGTGCTTTTCTCTTATCGGACCGCGTACCCGGAAGTCGGCTATCTGCCGCTCGTAAACGTAATCGGCCGTTCCGCGGCATGACGTTCTAAACCACGAAGAAGCGGAAGAACGATCGCGAACTCGAGTGTGCCGAGCCAACTACATTTGTCGTCGGTCTTTCGCTTTCGTTCGCGAGATTTCTCAGCTCGACCGGAAACAGACGAACGTTCCTTCGGTCGTTGGTGTACGTGTTGCCGCGCTTCGCGTCACGAGATGGGGGAGCGAACGGTGCGAGGGAGAGGAACACACCCCTGGCGCGCACAAAGGACGAACGAAAGATTTCGCCGGCTTTGCAGCGACTAACAATCGCGACCTGGAGTCCTGGCAAGAATCGCTTATCGCGTTTAGCGGCTCGTGAATCGGGGGAATTTCTAGAAAGAATCGCCGAGTTGCATTGCACAGAGGAGAATGAAGGGGTGGGGGTGGGTTGTAAGCGAAAGCCGGAGAGCAGGGCCGGAGAGAACGCGAGAGGGGGAGGCATTAATTACCGAAAGCGCGGTTCGCAGACGGGTTGAAAAGCCGCGTTGTTCGTCGGCAGAATAACGAGTCTGTAATAGAAAATGCGTAGTACGTTATGTCGTTATTGGAATTAACGACGAGAACATCTGGCCATATAAACACAATACATGTACAAACATAAACTGTTGAGCTCTCGAGGCTCTGTTCCTCGCGGGTATCGATCGTCTGAGTGCGATTCGCTGAGGATTGGGAACAATTCTGACGATAATTGTGCCATGACTGAAAATAGAATCGAAGATACTTATTCTTGGAAATGTGTCTAGATCAATTTCTTTTCTTCGATTTTGCCTTTTTTCGTCATAGTATGAGCCATCTCCTTTCTTCTTCCCCACATTCTATAAACGCTGCATCATTTCATGAACGTTTAAGTAGTTAATTCCTTGACTACGAAAAGCGTGTATACGCGCCCTCCAAATTTTTCTCACTATAACACGTTTACCGTTTTACTAAATCCAGCTAACATAGAATTTATCGTTTCATGTAGCATAGCAACTGCAAATAGCTGAATATCAGCAACTGTCCGCATGCTTTTATTAATTCAGTTTCAATTTCGCTGTTCTCGTACATGTGTACACTGTCGTATAATCGCATCGTGAATTGACTCGTACAAACTTACTCCTTTGCTGCATATGCAAGTGTTTATTTATTTCAGTTTGTGATCAGTTTTATTTTTCTAAATAATAATACAGTGTGCCATAAAAATATTTAGCCAGTAGGAAAGAAAACGAGTAAATATGACAAGTAGTAGTGAAGATAGCCAGTCAGTCGCAGCGACATTGACTATCAAAGGATTGGCCATTGTAGTTTCGTGAAAAATAACGCAGCAACGTTGCTCTTTTGCAGTGGTACGTCAAAAGTACGAGGTTCAAGTGCGAGATGCCTACGTTCTGCCTGGAAATACCGGAGTGCTCAGGTGTGAAATACCGACGTTCGTTAAGGAGTACGTGGCAGTCACGTCCTGGGTTCGAGATTCCGCCTACAACATCTTCCCCACGCCGAAAAGCGGTGAGTGAGATAGCAATAAGTTGATCCGAGTTTGATAAGGCTGAAACGGACGTGTCTGGTATCCTAAAACCGCTGGCTCGCCCAAACGTAGTTATTTCTTAACTAAACTATCGCTCATCGTGGCGCCTCAGTTTCAAACTCGATCAATTCCACATCTCTCAATAATTTTTAACGTTGCTATCGAAATGGACGATTGGCCTTCAATTTCATCGATTTATCGAATAACATCGATTCATCACTCGAGATATCTTTTCGTCGATATAGTTTGAGTCTTTTTTTTTTTTTTTTTTTTTAATTGTTTCGACGTTCGTTGTCCATCGAGATCAACTCACGCGTCGTCGATATCGAGAGGACGAGGCACAACTCGATACGAACAAAAGGTTTGGATGTTTCTCGAACGAATAACGCGATTCGATACGCATTCTCGTTACGCATTCGAAAAGAGCTCTTATCGTACCGATGTCACGTCTCGGTGCGTTCGTGATTGCGAGGTTTTTGACGTTTTACGCTCCCCGCTGCTGCTGGAGAGGCACGTAGAAATGGCGCGCCGATAAAAACCGTAGGAGCCTGATAAATTGGAGCCACTTTTTTTGCCCGGTTTCTCTCCCCTCGGTTTTGTGTACCGCGACCGAACGCGCGGCGAGCAAAAAGCCCGCGTTACCGCGTGCACACACGCTGATATAAGCTGCTCTGGTCAATATCCGAGTTAATTAGAGTCTGAGGGGACTATTCGAGTATCCGCGTATACACATTAACGTGCAGCGGCTGCCTCTCCTCTCGTGTACGCCCTAAGCCCACGTGAATTGTGGTATTACACGTGGAAAAAAAGGGGCCCTCGTCGAGCATACACGCACGTACGTGGAAGAGTTTATGAGAATTCTGCCGACCGGCAGATTTACAAACGGCTAGAAAAAACTCACCAGTGACGGGAATCGTGTCCTTTTTTCTATTCTCCCGGAATCGAGATCGTTCATCGAGATGAACTCCCTCAGCGATTCGACATCTCCGCCGGATAGTTAGGGAACCTCTCACTTACTCAGACGAAAGGAGGATGGTAAAATTACGCGCGCGGCGTAAAAAAAAAAAAAAAAA